TATTGTAAAGATTTATTTAACTCGACTTCTTTGAGCTTTGTATTTTAGTTAAGTTCTAAGTTTCTTTGTTTAGTTTAAGAATACTTTACTAGAATCTGCATCGCTCAAATTTATTTAATAGAATTGATGTATAGTGTAAAGAGGCTTTATATCTATCTCTCTATATATCTATCTATCACACAAGCAGACAAAAAAATGTTTTAATGGTACGTTCTTCTTTATTTCAGTATGGATTTAATAGATAACAACAGTTCTGCTGAAGACGTCAAAACATGTTTGATCGACTGTGGAATCCCAGAGAATGATGCTAAAATAATTGAAGGTGAGAATCTAAAATATTTTGTCAAAAAAAAGCACTATATTATACTTTGTTCTTTTATTCCTAACAAGTGTCTAGGTATATACAATTATATGTATATAGAGAAAAAAATAATAAAAATTAAAAAAAAAAACTTAATTTTAAATTCTGATGTAAACTTTATATCAACATGGTGTAAGGGTGCAAACTTTCACTTTTTAATGTAATTTTGTTTGTTTTTGTGTATGAAACTTGATGTTTAATAACGCAAAATTAATGAAATTAAAAATAATACCAAACTTCAAAATAAAATAAAATTCACAACCGAATTGTTATTAATAATGCATTGGAAAATGCAATTAAAAATGCAAGTAAAATTAATACAGTACTTCGCATTAAATAAATTTCAAAACCCAATTGTTACGAATAATGCATCGGAAAACAATACAATAGGCCTATATCAAAAACATATACTCCAAATGAATAGACTATTGTCTCAATGAAGCTCTACCTAGTCAGCCTCATGAGGTCTTAGGGCAACTGCAGGCTTCTAGTGGAGTACCGTATTGTTTCAAACTGTCTTTTATTGGTGTATAAAAATTAAAAGATAGTGTATTTAAAAATAATACTTTACTTTATTATGCACTATTAAAGTAATATCAAGACTAATTAATTTTCAAAATGAATAGACTATTGTCTTAATTAAGCTCTAACTATTCAGCGTCATGAGGTCTTATGGCAACTGCAGGCTTCTAGTGGAGTATATTTGTTTCAATCTCTCTTTTGGTGTATGAAAACCACAATTTAATTGTTTTAAATTAAAAGTTAGTGCATTTAAGAATACTTTACACTATTATACAGTAATATCAAGATTTATACTCCAAATGAATAGACTGTTGTGTCAATGAAGCTCTAACTAGTCAGCCTCTTGAGGTCTTAAGGCAACTGCAGGCTTCTGGTGGAGTGTAGTTGTTTCAATCTGGCCTTTTCTATTGGTGTATAAAAAAAACCACAATTTAATTGTTTTTAATAAAAAGTTAATGCAGTTAAAAACAAAACTTTACACTATTATACAGTAATATAAAGATTTATACTCCAAATGAATCTATAGACTATTGGCTCAATGAAGCTGTAACTAGTCAGCCTCATGAGGCCTTAGGGCAACTGCAGGCTTCTGGTTGAGTGTAGTTGTTTCAATCTGTCTTTTTCTATTGGTGTGTAAAAAACCACACTTTAATTGTTTTAAATAAAAAGTTAATGTATTTAAAAATACTTTACATTATTATACAGTAATATTAATGCTAATACTCCAAATGAATAGATTATTGTCTCAATGAAGCTCTAAACTAGTCAGCCTCATGAGGTCTTAGGGCAACTGCAGGCTTCTGGTGAAGTGTTATTTGTTTCAATCCGTCTTTTTATTGGGGTATAAATAACCACAGATTTAGTTTTTGATAATGCAAAATTAATGCCTTAAAAATTACTTTGAATAGACTATTCCCTGAATGAAAGCGTGATAGTAAATTTATAGGTATAAAAAATTCCCCCAATTGACAGTATACATAAAGAAAGGTCTATTAGGAAAGGTAAGTAAATTTTAGATAATCCGTCACCTGTTTTATACGTATTATATTTTTTAATCACTCTGGTTTTAAGCTACGGCCATTGACAGTTAATCATGTACGTACCAGAAAGTCGTTTGTTCCTAACTCATGTTATTTTTTAATGAGAGTGTTAAAAGATATAATTTTAATTTGAGATTTTTATGAGCTTTGTCAATAACATGATTTTCCTATTTGGACAATAAAGTTTGATTTGATTTGCTTTGATTTGATGAAGCTCGAACTAGTCAGCCACGTGAGGTTTTAGAGCAACTGCATGCTTCTAGCGAAACTAATCCATAACCATTTTTTCCATAAACATTTTTTAGCTGAAACAAAATACGGTAGAGGACATTGTGTTCAAAGAACTACAAAAGCGGCCAAAAATAAATGACAGCGCTTAAATCGTAAGAAAAAATATGAAAGACTACTGCATGAAAGTGCCAAGATGAAAAATGAAGTAGATCATCAAAAGAAACAAATTAATGCTTACAAATCAAACATTTCTAGGCTAACCAACCTTAAACGTCCCTCGTCATTTGGTTTAACAAGTTGTAAATATTCATACTTGAAAGCTCCTTTACAGGACAATAAAATGGATCCAAATGAAACCAGTCGTTCTTTGGCATGTAAAGCCATTAATGATAACTTTAAAGAGTTGCCAAACCTTTTATCCTCAGCCTTTCTGAAATTAAAAGACGATCATCCACGGTGGTTTGGAGCTTATGGCAATGTTTTTATTGGTAATCTGACATTACTGGCAAACAGCATTCCTGTGGAGAGGCACAAAGTGAAGCAACAGACATTTATTCTTTTGGAAGACTTTTAAAGTCTCTTGTTCATACCTGCAAAGTGGTTGACCTTTTGTCGATTTCTAGGGCTTGCAGAAACCAAATTTCCTGGCAGAGGCCCACTGCAAAATGTGCTGCTAATGATATAAGAAACTGTATTCATTCAATTGAATAAGCAAATATCAATTAATATATGCCTGTACATGGTTTGCATAGAATGTTAAGTCTTTTTTTATTGGAGCCACCATAATAGTTTCACTGTAGTATGTACTTACAATAAGATTGGAAAGAAGAAATCTATAGTGAAAGTTATTAAATATTTAATTTATTGATGTAAGCTTAAAAGTGATTCTTATACTTTATTTACAACCTACAGCCTAATATCGATACACTAATGGATTGTTTCGCGTGTGGAATGTGCCCTTTCTCTGGGGTGGATATGCAGGAGCTACATAATCATGTTGTGAAAAGGCATAGAAATGATCCCAACTTTATTGTGTACTGTGCAAGTGAAGGATGTGGAGCATCCTTTAAAAAATATAAATCCTTCAAGCAACACTGCTTCAGAAAACATACATTTACTAAAAAAACATTTGATACAAATGTAGATGATGAAATTGAGCCTCCGTTTGTTCATGACGACCAAGACAAAGTGGAAGGTGTTGACTTAGGTGAAGCAGCCTACATACTTAAACTTGATGCGGGACATAAATTATCCCAGGCAGCCATTTCAAGTGTTCTTGATTCAACTCGCTTCCTCTTAAATGAGAAATTAAGAATACTGAAAGATGAGCTTACAAAGAAACATCCAACTTTGAACTTGACAAATGATGAATTAGAAATCAATTTGTTTGAGGGTTTGGACACCCCATATTTGCGGCAAAAAGTCTTCAATGAGTCTTTTCAACACATATCACCAGATGAAATTGTACTAGGAAAACGTACAATAACAAAATTTATTAGAGGAAAAATGAAAACTACAAAATCTAATGTTGTAGGATACAGTATTCCATTTCTAAAGCAATTGGGAGCACTGCTGTCCATGCCTGAGGTAGAAATTTTACTATCTAATGAAAATGATGAACCAGAGAATATTATGACAGATTTTTGCCATGGTGATTACCTGCGTAATCACCATTATTTAAAGCAACACCCCAGTGCCCTCCTTATTAATATATATACTGATGATTTTGAGATTGTTAATCCTATTGGATCACATAGGAAAGTGCACAAGCTCACAGCATTTTATTGGATGCTCATTAACATACCCCCCGAATACCGTAGCAAATTAACTTCTGTTCAGTTGTTAGCAATAGCCAAAGCAAATGATTTAAAGGAATTTGGTGAGGAAATACTTATAGAGCCTTTTAAAAGAGATCTAAATTTGTTATGGAATGGTACCAAGTTAAACACCAGTGATACTGAAAAGGTCTGGTATGGAATGTTAAACTGTGTATTGGGGGATACACTTGCATCACAGTCACTAGGGGGATTCAAAGCTGGAGTCGGAAAAGCTATTAAACCATGTAGAACTTGTGAAATTGATAGGGAATCTTTGAAGTTAGTTATTCATGAAAGTGAGTGTACAAAGAGGGATGAATTTGAACATCTCGAGCGAGTATCTATGCTAGAAGAATTAAGTGTGAAGAGCAAAGAGTACTGGTCGAAAAAATGGGGAGTCACAAGACGAAGTGTACTTCAAGGTATACCAGGGTTTAAGATCACAAAATGTCTTTTGCATGACCCAATGCATGTACTTTTTGAAGGCATTTTGAGAATTGAGCTACGATGTTTATTGGATCATGTAATAAATGTCAAGAAATACATTTCACTCTCTGAATTCAATAGGAGACTTACTCATTTTGAATATTCTCCCGAAGAGGCAAATGATCGTCCTCAACAAATAGAAAAGAAAGCATTAAAGGCAAACGCTATTTTAAACCAAAGTGCAGCATCCATGATTGTCCTTGTGACTACAATGCCATTTATAATATCAGATAAAATCGGAGATGTAAACGATGAGAAATGGACAAATTTTCTTGTTTTACTACAAATAACACTACTTTGTTTATCACCAGTAGCGTCCTCTGACACTTACGACACCCTTACACACCTCATCTCGAGATACTTGCTCAATTTTATCAACCTTAACCCACAAGAGTCATTTACCCCTAAAATGCATTACCTTGTTCATTTTCCTGCACAACTGAAAGATTTTGGACCTTTGAGATCACACTGGTGTATGAGGTTTGAAGGCAAAAACGGATTCTTTAAGCTAAAACGGTGGTTCAATTTCAAAAATATCGCTAGGACTTTGACGATGTACCATCAAAAGTGGATGTGCCTCCAGATGGTATGCATGAATGGAAAAAAAATCAGAAATGTTTTTGTCCCATGGAGATGAAGTTAAAGAGGGAGAAGTGGACGTCCATTTACCATTTTTTGAAAACAAAGTAATGTTAACATCTTCAATTAAGGTGAAAGGAATTCATTACTATGAAAATGCCATTCTGTTAAAAAAATGGGATCATTTGTTAGTTCCAGAATTCATTCAGATACAGTCAATTGCTGTTAGAGGTCCTATGCTATACTCATTTGTTTGCAAGAAGCTGGATGTGACATTATTTAACACAAATATGAATGCATTTGCAGTTGATACAACTAATGAGGTGTTGACTTTAAACTTTAATGAATTATTGTACCCATGGCCACAAATATTTCATATAGTGAATGACAAACTGTTTGTAATGTTTCGATGTGTGGATGACCCATGGACTTTGCTTTAAAAGCATTTTAAGCATCTGAAGACATACCATAATTATCAAAAGGTAAGAAACAACACACTTATGAATCATCTTCATTTTCATATGTATATACATTTTGCATACAGGTAAACATTAAACAAAGATATAGATATACTGTACAAAGAAAGATAAGAATGTACGTACAGTATATATGAGCCATTCTTTTATTTCTAAGAGAATACAAACCATGACCCCAGAAAAAAGTATTATTAAATTAATTTTCCTTTAATTTTCAGGTGCTGTATGACAATGATTATACTGTGTATAAATACTTCAGTAGCAGCATATAGCCAATGAACTTTAAGTGATTTTTGCTTACAGATGGGTGACATTTATTAGTGAAGTGCAAATTTCATGCTGGCTAAGAAATTAGCCTTTTTTTTTTCGTATACAAACAATACGATCTGTTGCTATACATTAATTCAATATATCTGTTGCAGAAAATGGTGTTGATGGAGAAATATTGTTCCATCTTAAAGATGAAGACTTAAAAAGTATGCTACCAGGGAGAGTGGGGATTGTCAGGAAAATCAAAGTATTACTGCAAGCAAGAAAGGTATTCATTCATTTAGTTCTTAATTATGAAATCAGTTTCCTTGTCTCAATTTAGAGTAATTGAATTTAATTGCTGGGCCTTGTAAAAAGAATGTCGTCATCATACATAGATAATTGTTTGAATATTATAAGGGTTTTATGTCGGACCTACTGTAAGCGTACCTGACCTCGAGTTGTGGAACACGTAAACTGGACCTTTAAGAAAATAATTGTCTTCTATGAAGCTATTTAGACTGATAGTGGCACTTTTTGGCATTTGGCAATATACAGCTCTAATGTTTTAAAAATATTTCTTATATTCTTCTTTAGACACCTGATTTGGAAATTCAGGAATTCTCAGTGCCATCTGGCTCTAGTGAAGAAGAGGAAGCTGAATGGCATTTGTCAACTTCTAGTGCTGGAACTGAATGTCCCCTTCCCATATACTCAACTAGAGTCCGAGGTTGGCTCAGTAATAGTGTCGATGCCTCCAAGCATCTGGACAAAATCATAGAGGAGACTGCCTATCATATCATTGCACACAAGTATAATATGAAATCCAAGACACAATATGAAGTTTTTGGTAAATCATTAGTGGCTGAACATCCTAACCTTGCGTTCAGTTCTGGATCATCAAAATGGGTATGTAAATTAACTTTAGTGTTTGTATTGTCTGTGGTACATTCATGTAATATAGCTAAAGCTGTCGTCGACAGCCATATATTTTAGGGATCCCTGACATTCCAGCCCAAACTCAAACAATGTCTCATTCATGATAACCTTAATTGATTTAAAAAAAAAAGAAACTACTCTAGTCCAAAGGCTTGATCACACCCACAGAGTTATGGTTTTGTATATCGTATTCAGCATTCAAATCCAAAATTAGGTTAAAACTAGGAACCAGGAACCAAAATTAGGTTAAAACTAGGAACCAGGAAAAGATGTGGAGCAACACTGACATTTCTTTAGATAAGATTAAGAAAAGCAAGGTACAAGATTACTGTACAACACATACAATACAAAAGTCATACATCAATGATTTTGACCTAAGTGAAGTCAACAAAAATCAAATTCATTCCTGCATACAGTTTTTCGTCCCAAAGTCTTAGTTAATGGAACATGAACACTTTGCTGTTACGACGCTAATTATATTGTGATGTTGCTTACGATACCAAACCTATAACTCCATAGATCTGAAAATACCCTAAATTCTAAGGAAAGTTCCAACATATTAGCTGATTATACAAATGATTATTTTTCATTTTTTTCTGACAGAGAGTTGTGACACAGAAGCTTTCCCAAAAGCTCAGAAACATTAGATGGAGGGAAAATAAACGAATCAAGAAAACTAGTAAGGGAGATAAAAGAAAGCCGGGAAATGGAGCTCGCTCTTATATATGTCTTCCCAAAGATAGTGGTAGGTTACTTTAAAGTAAACATCAAATTTTAGGCCTACTTTATAATTTTTTTACAATACAATGTTTTGAAACCGTTGTATTTGGCTCAAGCACCTTCATGATTTGTGATTGTATGATTATTGGGTAGGTACATTTATTTGCACATGCAGATATTGTTGTTAGGGTGAAATGAAACTTAATGTGGGTAAATAAAATATTTTCATGTATATAGTATGTCTGTGATAACTTTTTCATTAACAGTTTGAAAATCATTATAGATAATCACAAGTCCTTTGAGGAGATTGAAGAAGAGTTGAAAGTTGCAGTGGTTGCTGAAGATGGGCCAAGGATTAAAAAACTGCTAAGAGACTCTTTTCAGGAAAGGCGAGATGTCATAAGAAAATTGAATGGGGGCGCAAAGGAAATATTAGAAAGGTTTCCTTTACTAAAGGAAAGTGGACATGTAAGTAAATGATTTTGTGTCAAATTCTACTCTACAGTTAATGCCTATAAGTGATTATTTACTTATAGCACAACTATTTTCTCATTTGATTGGTTGATTTTTTTATCATGTGGCATTGGTCAATTTTTACATTTATAGGTAAAAGTGATATTCAATGGTTGCATTCAACGGACAGCTTATCAAAATTTTGAGTTTTTTGCCTTTCAATAGCCCTAATTAAAAAAATAAATAATTTGTGTCACCGAAAATAAACCTACAGAGTGTACCTTCTATAATGCTCTGATGCACAAACAAAATTCTAGGCCTAGCCTTCAAGATCCAATTAAAACATTCATGCGGCAGCGGCATGTTTTATGTTGATTACCGAAATTAATTAACAGGGATCTATTTACTTTAGGACAATAGGTTTGTTATAAAACAAGTAATAAATTGCATTTGTTGAAGTATTCTTCCTATTAAATCTTAAGCATTCAATGTTTGTAAATTTATTGACAGTTTGGAGTGTTGTGACCATTTATTCATTATACATTAGTTGGATTTTTTGTGACCATTCATTTGTAAACATCTTAAGTGATGACTGAAGTAATTTTTAGATGCGGAAAAGCAAAATATTATTGTATTAATGTTTTATTTCCTCTCATTGCTTTATTGCAGGTAATTGCAGAATTTGAAAGAATGGTAAACGAAAATGATTACTGTTCCAAATATTTGGAGTTTACAGTGATAACATTTCATTGTATACAAATTAAATATTATTTTATTAAATAAATAATACTGCACATTTGTGTCCCCCTCCCCCACGACAATTGTTGATTGTTTTTTTTCTACCATGATTCAACCAAGCACGGTTCGGCCACTCACGTCATAGCTTTCTCCTTCCAAAAACAGGTATTATGTTTAGAAATAAAGTATCCACATGGGCATTCGGTTATCAATAAATGTGTGGAGTTGTTTACTGTAGTGATCTTTCTAGGACAGGTCTTATATTTATGTTTATCTGACCCAGCTTATGACTCATCCCACCATTCCTCCATACCAGATTTACTTGATCTTACAGGTTTAATACTAGACGATAACTTATTGTTCAGCTCCCGAGGGGGCATAGACACAAAAACCGCTTATAACTCAAATAGTTATCTGGCATCTGGCACTTTAGCAGCATGTGTAAGTGACGCCTTTGCTGTAACCATGAAGGGGCTTTATTAAAAACTATTTTCTCCATGATGGAACGTCTCTTTGTTATATTTTTTTTAAAATTTCCAGATGCCCTCGCGGCCCTCCAAAACTGTTTCGCGGCCCAAATTTGGGCCGCGGACCATAGCTTTACAGTATACCAAATACTGTAATATTTAATTGATTAGTAATTTGGGTGTTTTCTATTACAGGAAGCTGATGAAAAAGTAGAAATTCAATTGATACTTGATTTACAAAGAGAATTGAAGTCAAAAGGAAGAAGAAAGGGTCAAAAGTTAAAGGCTGCAATAACTGTGAATGAAGAGTTTGAGGTTAGTAAAAGTAGTTTAAATCTAGTCCAAACAAAAAACAAACACAAATGCAGCAGTTCATTTTGGTTTTAAAAATAAGACTTTCATAATTGTCTTTGCCTTGTAAAAATGGATGTATAACGAAGAATACATTTGTAAAGGGTTCTAATAAAGGTGTTGAAATTGACGGTTCAAATTCTATACTGTAAATAATACTTGTGTCCTTATGGAATTAGTCTTTGCACAATACTATTATCGGTGATAATAATAATAATTCTGGATTTATATAGCGCCTCCCGTTGACACAATCTCGAAGTGCTTGAACATTATTACCCCCGGATCACTGGATCAAGCACATATGGAACACACCCTCAAGCCCCATGGGGAATTCCATAATGTTGCAGCTGTATTCAGCGCAGGCTGTGTTTGAACCTACCAGGTACCCACTTGTACTCCTGGGTGGA